TTCGTGACGAGTTCGGTATGATAGTTTTGATCAATTTCTCGTCAACAGTGTTGTCCATTGTTTCATGGATCACTCGTTTAGTTAGGGCTTCAAGTTTGGGCGTGGGGTTTTTGGGAGTCGGCTCGTATTCAGATGTTATTTTTTGTGCCTTTTCTATGTAAGTTTGTGTGTCCATGACTACTATCCCTTTGCATTTGTCCGATCGTTTGAATATAATCGAACTGTCTTCTTTAGCTGCTACTAGGGCCTGCTTTTCCTCTTTTGTGTGATTGGATCTTTCTGTTTTGTGTGTTTTGTATGCTGTCAGAACCTTTTGTTTAAGTTTGCGTATCTCGTGTTCAACTGGTGGTGGCGCACTTGGTGCCATCTTGGCGTCAGTGTCCGTGAATCGTGGAACAAAAGATTGCTTGTGAGTCTGTTGGTGTGAAGGTATGTCGTTGTTCCCTTCTTTGTTGTTGTTTGTTTGGTTGGTTTCGATAAAATGGCGCCAGCGAAGTGCGTAGGCTCCTCTTTCAAATCCGACTTCGGCGTCAGCTATGACTTTTTTGTTGATGTTCCTGGACAGGGCGAATTTTGGGCCCATTTCAAGGATTCAGGTGAGGTTAGGTTATGTTTGTTTTTGTTTGGTTTGTTTACCAAGAAGCATCTTCGGGTATAGCGCCTTCCTTTGGTTGGAAAAAAGAAACACGCCATCTAAACTCCTCCAAGATTGCTTCCCTGTTCAAGTGGCAGCTCTAGCCCCAACAAAGTCAAGGAGGGCCCTGCTCCAACCTCCTCTATCAAGCTCTTGGAGTAGGTAATGCATTCGCCATAGCCCATCCGTGGCTGTTTCTCTTTCGCTATTTCAAAAGTTTATCGCAACTGGACCGTTTCTGATTCTAGATAGCATCGCAATTCACTAATGCGTACTGAATCGTGAAATGATAAATTTCATATTGTGTAATGTATACCTAATACCTATATAAAGCACTTGTAATGCCTATATAAAGCGCCTGAAACAGCGGTACAGTACAGATGCAGGGCCGTTGCCTGGCCGTGCCAGCCAACATTTTTGTTTTTTGTTTTTATGTGCGCAGCGCTTGTATACAAACACCTTAAGAAACAGTGCTACTTAAAATACCTATCGTTAACTAGCCGTATTTCTTAAACCAAACCTCGCCGGACCTATTGGTTTTCTTCATATACGCCCCGGCCGAGAGGGGAGGGGTTATAAGGGGTTGATAAGACTCGCCGTTTCGCCCCTGGTTGAGCTAGATTTTCGCGGAAAAGACAAACGTATGCGCCGTTACGAGACGCACTACGCAGCGATTAGTAGCCGATTTCAAGGCCTCAGGTTAACCGGTCACATCTGAGGTCCGGTCGAGTGGCCCAAGCTGTCAGTTTTTGGCAAACAACTTCGTCAGAAATGTTCACAGAGCCGCGATTTTGACGGCATCTTGTTTGCCTGGCTCAGGCACGTCGAATGGTATACATTTTGTTCGGTCGAGCTCAACCTAAAATGTTGACTTCGGGTGGAGGTCAGGTCAGAGCCCTTCAGGTCACCAAGTTGGTCGAAGGAGGTCATATCGCATATCATTCGATTCGACAGGTGTTCCCGAGTCCATTGGTGGGTTTCCGTACTCCGCTACGCTAGCTCAATTTGATCAGGAGCTATTGACGAAAGACTTATGACCTTATCGACGTCATAAATGACGTCACGCAAGGTCAGCAATACAAAAGTGAAGCATCGGATCGTGTGCATGAAATCACGATTCTGTGCGCTTGACATAGTTCTGGATCATTGCCGGCGCCATCCGGCAATGATCCATATTTACATATCGTATCCATATTTTCCCAGGCCATCGACTTATAATGGCGAGGTCACGTCATGGTGAGGACTTGACCTCAGGTGACCCTTAGGAAAAATCCAAGACATACAAGCTGTGAGACCTCTCGTGGATACTAGGTCCTGTAAGTTCATCTCCCTGTGAAAGCTCCTCGGCACTTGTGCACTGTGAGAGCGCTGCGAAGTCACGACATTGTGGGGCCGTGGAGGCCATTCTTATAAAGAAAAAGGACGGAGGGACGGAAGGAAAAAAAGAACTCAATGAATTAAACGATTCCGTCCTTTTTGGTTATCATAAAGGTTCCGTCCCTCTACCCCTCCCCCTTCGTTGTTTTGCTAGGATGCGTTTTTCGTCTAAATGATCAAGAGCCAGGGGCGGATCCAGAAAATCTCCAAGGGAGGGGCCATTAGAAACCAGGAGGCCCCCCCCATAATCCCACCTGTTGGAGGCCCCATCTTCCCACTTGTTGGGCCCCCCCAAAAAAAAACTGCGTCTATTGAGCTTATCTAGCTGTTCAGGCAACATCTCAACATCTGTGCAGGCTTGGAGGCCCTCTGTGCAGGTTAGGAGGCCCTGTAAAAGTAGTCATCTCTGTGAGTATAAGAGACCTCCAAGTTATGAAAAGCTTTACCAATCTTCTAACAAAGAAGTCTTCTCAGCTAGTCTTCTAAGAAATAACTAAGTGGGTAGGTTAAAAAAACTCATCGGATTTCGGCCACTTTATTTTCAGGAGGCCCCCTTTTCAGCTTTTTAACTTTTTAACTTTTTATTTTATTTTTGAAAAAAATCGGCCAAGGGGGGGGGCCATGGCCCCCATGGCCCCCCCCCCTTGTATCCGCGCCTGTCAAGAGCTTTAGTAAATGAAACAGGAATTATTTCCTGCAATATTTTCTTATAAATTTCGTCACAAAGAATGCAATAAGACTAAGAAAATACTGTGTGATCGCTATATGGGTATAATAAAATGAGAACCTGCAATTATTTGGGATCACATTTGAATTTTTATGGGACCGGGGACTGTTGTCTGCTACGATACATAGCCTTGGCCAGAGGCCTTGGCTACGATCAAGGATAATATAGATAGGCGAAGTATGTAATATGTTGTAGTCTTTCCTGCTAGGCTGAAACCCACCAAAGATTGTTTTTGCGTATAAATGTGGTAATGCCTATGTCTTACTCAGTGACAGGATGTCTAATAAGCGGTAAGGGAACAACGCAGACACCCTGAGTTAGCGTGGCGGCTCGGGACAAGCGGTAGAGATAAAAGAGGAGGGGATACTGATAAGGCATCTTTCGCTCAAGGGGACGACGCGGCGCGCGGCGAACGCGCGCGGCGGCTCGGGATGAAAGGGAGGGAGAGAGGGAAGGAGTAGGTAGAGAGAGAGAGAGACGGGGGGCGCAGGTGTTGTTTTGACGAACTGACGCTAAAGAGGGGGGAGGGGGAGCGGGGGAAGAAATGGCCTGTGGATCTTCTCTGTGTGGGGACAGCGAGGACAGTCCAGCGAGAGCGCTTGAGCGTGGTGGAGTGTATACGAATTTCTCTGCGTGCAAACAAGAACTTTAAGTGCTAACGAGAAGTTGTAGTGCCACGTGACTCAGACCTCCAACCGTGATACCAGTCGAGGTGCCAGAGGACACAGGACACAGGCCAGGTGAGGGTGGAGCTACTGGGAGGCAGTTGCAAACAGTAAACACCTACCACTTACTGGATATTGCATCTCAAGGTGTCCAATCCTGCCTGTTAATGTGTATGCCCCATAAACAACGATAGCTGCAGAACGATAAGGTGGCGGTCTATAGGTACTTGGTCTGCATGTGAAATTGACTAATTTTCGTGTGAAATAACTCCCGACCAATGTCATACAGTTCACATATCGATTAGCACGCAGCCTGAAACACATTTCGCACAAGTTGGTCTCGCAACTAGCTAAATATCGTATCAATGCCGTAAAAAAGCGCTGCTGAAGAGCAGCGCTATTTCTGATGCGTTATTTTTCACGAACAACGCAAAGTCTTACGTCACCAGAGGCGTCTTTGTCTCTTTATGATACGGAAACACGTCCTTTTGGGTGGGGGTAGCGTCAATCTGGCTTCGTTCTTTTAACGGGTTCCGTCTTTCGTCTTCGTCCTTTTATGATAACCAAATTCCGTCTAATCTCAGAAATGACGGAGCGTCCCTCCGTTCTTTTCTTTATAAGAATGGCCAAAGACGCTCTAAATCGGACAAATGCGTTAACGAATGGAAAGTTGATGTGTAGCAGCCACGAGAACGACCTCAATTGTACCAAAATTAAGAAGAAGACCTTACGTGACACTCAAAGTAGGAAAAAACAGGTGCACAATATTCCCCTCCATTGACTATAACACTATCGGCCTTCGGGCAGAGTGATCTGTGACGTCACCATATTAGCTCCGCCCTATTTACAGCCGTCAGCCAATCAGCGCGCCGGCCGCTGTCCAACGGCCTTGAGCCAGCCTATTGCCAGTTTTTGATAGCGGAAAAGCACGGGAGCAGACCCCCGCAACAGGCAAACATTGCAATGTTTTATCATTCTTTGATCAAGAAACGTTCACAAATCATATATTTCTTCGATTATTACTGTCGCAACCGACGCGCACATGTCGTAGCCAGCGCATAAAGCTGTGCTCTGCGATATTATATGTGAAGAAACGGCCATTACAAATTTTGTGTAACAAAGCTCGAAAAAGATAGCATTCTATCTTGCTTCGACCTTCTACTTGCGCTTTTATAATTACGACAGCAACACCATACGGCCTATCGACGCTATCTAACCTAACTCGTGGTGCGTCCGGCCGCACTCTGCCGAGTGTGCCGAGATAGGAGGCGGCGGACCATCTGCGGCACGTCCAGCTGGGCGCTGCCCCAACGCTGCCCGGTCGCTAGGAGGGCAACGCCTAGTGGCGCTAGCCGCCGCCGCTCTGGCCGCTCGCTTCCGCGCACAACTTAGCTACCTGGCTACGCCTGTGGGAGGGGAGGGAGAAAACGGACAGGCGACAACAGTCTGATAAGCCAAAGGAGTCTGTGAGCCGCGTCAATCAGCGCCCTTCCGCGCGCAGACGGGAGCTAGAGCTATCCATCTCCTTTCCTGTTTCCGCTGGTCCGCCAGTCACCAGCATCGTTCCGTGCTCTCCATCGTGGCCGATTCGGCCGTGATGTCCTGTGTGCGTCAGCAACAACAGTGAGAGAGAGCCTCGGATCACGCCAGTCAGTTACATGGTTATCTATTGTTTATTTACTTTTCACTGATCGCAAGCGTTTTTGTTTGGAACGTGTCATCAGTATTTCACGCATTTGTGTGATCTGTATGATAAAACTGAAGTCAATAGTGTCTCCCGGAATCGGCATCCGAGTATATTTTTGGAAGCTGGAGTCTGAGTCAGAGTCAGAGTTACTGATAATCCATCGATTGTGCAGTCCTTATTGAAAGCGTGTCCCATTATGACTTGGACACATACCAAGTCCCGCAACCTTAAAATGGTGCTCAGCACCATTTTAAGGTGAGCTTTAAAATGTGGGGTTGCAAATACAAATATTTCACATAATTATGTACTTTCTTTTTCTTTATTTTGAGGGGTTTACAGGTCTGGGCCACACTTTTCGGCGATATCAATTGAAAATTCTGCTTATTAGAGACATGGTACCATGACGAATTTAACCTTCTTTTGCAGCAGTTATATAAAAATGGAGGCCAACAGAATAGAGATAGCCGCTTTGCTCCGCGCGCAGCATACCAAAGCTTTCATTGCCAAGCACCTGAAAGTCAGTCGGATGACCGTCCACAGAGTTGCGGACAGGCTCAAGAGCGGAGAAGGTCTCAAAGATCGACCCCGTACCGGCAGACCTCGAGTAGTGAGCCGACTGGCCGTAAAACGGGCATTCGAACGCAACCCAAGGCTGAAAATTAGGGTGTGTCATTTTGGGCACTTTTTTCGCAAAACATGGTGCTCCACTGATTTTATCGTGCCCCAGACACGTAGAAACCGTGTGACATTTTTTATTTCCCCCAAATATTAACACCCATGCGGCGCCGACCGCCGACACTTTGGCCTATCTCTCAGCATTAGCGACCTCAGCGCCCCTAGCGGCAATGTTTTGAACTAACACGCCCGCTATGCTTTGTGAGCTTACGATCATCATAAAATGCATTTTACCGAAATGACGCCTTGCTGTTGGCTTGTCTGGCACTCAGAATGTTGGTGAAAATGTGATGTTATGCATCTTAAAGCAGGAAATAGTTCTGTGTTAATGTACATAATCATATATTGCATAGTACCTACTACCCCCGATCCCCGTCCTGGTCTGACGGGATACGTACGAGCGCATGTTTATAGTGCCTGCTATTAGGTGTCACATGTTTTTTTTTTTGTAGCGTCGTTCACTGCATAGACCCCGGGGAACAGGGGGGGGGCAGTGGGGGCGCTTGCCCCCCCCCCCCCTCCAACTTGAGAGCCGAGTGGGCGCCGCCCCCTCAACATTGATGCAACGATGAAGGATCTCTGCTCACTTTTATGGACCTACATGTCTGTTTTTATATAAACATCAGCACAAGGTATTTCTCTTGCATGTGAAGTGAATGGTTTCTGCTGACTCGGCATCGATTTAAGAACACCTGCTATTATCATCCCACTTTGATTTTATCTGAACTTGATCATAACTTTGGTAGGTCAGATTTTATACTGGACCATTTTGGTTCCGGATGGTATTTGATTTGGCGTGATGAGAACATTATGACGTACAACGGTGGTAAAGTCGTTGATTGATACAGGTTTACTCGCTCCGGTGGGAGGCAGTAGCGGCGGAACACCTTCAATTAAGTGGAGGGGGGGGGGCACTGCCGACTTTTGGTCCCATTCTTTCCATGCAACGCCCATAGGGCTAATGTTAAAATGCCCAAATCAGAGGGGGCACGGTGCCCCGGTGCCCTCCCCGTTCCGCCGCCTATGGTGGGAGGGCGGCGTGTGGGACTCAGAAGGAGACTAATGGCTTGTGTTGTGCCTTTGGTAGGACCCTCAGTATCACCGATGCAGGGCCTTCAGAGCCTCCAATTAGGGGCCTTTAGAGGCACTGGTGTGGGGTCCTCACATACGCCCGTGTGGCCCCTCAGAGGTGCTAGTGTGAATCCCTCATAAGCACCGGTGAGGGTCCTCACAGAATACAGACGCCGTTGTGGACCCTCAGAGACACTGGTGTGGGTCCGTTACATGTGGGTGTGTGGCCCTTAGAGCTGCTGGTGCGAACCCTTTAAAAGTCGGCAGGGGGCCCTCAACGACCGGGGAGGGGGACCTCAGACCGGCAAGGGACCCATAGAGGCCGGCGGCATCTTCAGAAGCCCCGTGGGGTCCTTAGATACCGACAAGGTACTCTGAGACGCTAGTGCGGCCCTCAGTCTCTGATGTAGGGCCCTCAGAGTTGCAGGTAGGTGGCCGGCAGATATGCTTTTGCCGAACCCTCACAGGCGCAGGTGTGGGTACCTCAGAGCCACCAATATAGGGTTGCATAAATGGTGTGGCACTGGCTTGGGGGACCCTCAGTGGTGTCCTTATGGGCCCTTAGAACCACTGGTGTGGGTCTCTCAGAGGTGCTGGTTGTGAACCCTCAGAGGCCCTGCTGAGGGCCCTCACGGTCTCCGTTATGGGATCCTCAGAAGCCGGCGTAGACCCTGACGGAGATCTTAGTGTGGCTACTTAGGGGCTCATGAGGTGCTCTTACGAGACCTGTGAGGTCTTTCTCAGCTGAAATATAGTCAGCGTGGACCCTCAGAGGTCAGTTGGTACCGCAGGGGTCTTTATGGCCGGGTGGGCTCTCAGAAGCACCAGTGAGGGCCCTCAGTCTCACAGTCGTCGTAATGGGGCCGTCTGAGACATTGGTGTGAGGCCATTACTGATTACAGGTTGGCGTAAGGCCCTAGATATGGCCCCTCTTGGGCCGGCAAGGACTCTCAGAGGCACGCTAGCGGCCATAAGAGGCCGGTAAAGGGCCCTCAGAGGCCGCCAGTAGCCTTCAGAAGCCGGCGTGTAACCCTCATGGACAATTTAGTGAGGCTTCTTTGGACTCACGAGGTGCTGTTACGAGCCCTATTCTTTCTGAATCGAAATATGGCCAGCATAGACCCTGAGCGGTAAACTGGTGCCACAGAGCCCCTCCGACCCGAGGGGTCCTCTGAATGCGATAGGGGGGGGGGACTAGATGGCACGTGCCTCCTGGGACCCCCTGACTACGCTACTATTTCATATGCGTCATGTCAGGTATTTTGGGCTTGCACCCCAACTTGAAGAATGTTCCTGGGCCCCTGTGACAATATATTGTATTCATTATAGGTATTCGTCATTAGCTTGCACTCTCTGCAATCTGCCCATACTATTATTTGTCCCTAGACGCGCTTACAGAAAGCAGGGATAAGCCCATACAGTCAACGGCCTGTTAGTTTAGCAAACAGCCGCCAGGGGCGCTAGGGTCGCCTATGTTGTGAGATAGGGCAAACTTCTCTCGCTCGGCGCCGCCTGGGGGTTAAAATTTGCGGGAAATTAACAATGCCACGCCCTTTCCACATGAGTGGAGCACAATAAAATCGATGGAGCACCTTGCATTGCGATTAGTGACACACCCTACTGAAAATGACTGAGGTCGCGAAACGCAAGAAGATTTCGGTCGCCACGGTGTCCAGGGCCGTCAAGAACCAGGGTGGAAAGAGCCTACGACTCCTGGAAGGGCCTCACGCTGCACGCTGGGCCGGCGGACCGGATAAGCGCTAGAAATACCCCCAAGAGTGACTTTCCACAATATGAACAAAATATGTATCATTCGATCCCAAATTGATCAAAGCATACGATTCTTATGCCATTTTTGCTCTAAGGTCGAAATTGAGGTGGTCAGTTGTCACCAAACACAAGACTATTTAGACCCGCTAGTGGCCACCACATTTGCCGATTTTAATGCTAATCTTTAGTTGATATTTATTAGTTGACCAGTTGTCGTTTTGAACGCAATTTTCTGTCAGACTAGTTCAGGGCACTGTTGTTCACTGTACCAACAACATTCTTACATATTGCATCGCTTTTCTGCAAGATAAGCTAGCTTTTTGCAAGCAGCTGCAAGACCATAATAAAAATCATCTAAATTTTTAAATAGACTTTTATAAAAAAACGTTATTTCGAGCGGCTAAAAATGAACATCTTATACTAGCCTCTGATTACTCATCTTTCGTTCCATATATTGCGGCTGGACCCTCGAAGCGAGCTCTCAGCGACTTTGTATCGAAATATTCTATGTTTCACCACATCAACAAACCGACATTCTCATCCGGCTCTGCCATAGACGTCATCATCACTAACCGAGAGATCGTAGCTCGAAGGGGAACTCGTTTTTGCCATTTTAGCCCTCACCTTTTTACTCGTGTACTGATCAGTGTCCCTCGTTTTCGTCTCAAGCCACGCGTCGTGCAATGTCGTTCTTTTAAACGCTTCAACATGCAGTCTTTTGATGCGGATTTACTAGCTGTCGACTGGTCCTGCGTCTTTGCAGCCTCAAACATTTCTGATGCATGGTCTCATTTTATTCGTCTTTTCGCCCCCATTGTTCAGCGTCACGCCCCTGTCCGAACTGTGAAACTGCGCAACCCCTCCGCTCCCTCCATCTCGGACGACACGCGTCAGCTTCTGGCTGACCGCGCCCGAGCGCTGCGCCTGTGGGGTCACGGGTCTGATAGGTACCGGGAGGCGAACCGTTTGGCCCGCGCTGCCTTCAGAGCGGACAAGCGGCGCCATATCGGACACCGCGTGTCTCAGCAGGGACGTGGGTCTGTCTGGCGCTGCGCGGCTGACATCTTGGGCAGTAAAAAGACAGCGTGCACGATACCACCTACCATCTCCGCCGAACAGATGAACGAATTTTTTGTCCATGTCGGCCCACGCGTTGCCGCCGAGCTCGCCGCGCAGGGTCCGCCCCCCTCACTTCCCCCGCGACTGCCCAGGGTGGGAGCCTGCGCCTTTCGGCTACATCCAATCACGCTCAGCACCCTACATGCCATCATCAGCTCCATGAGCAACTCCCCGTCCCGCGGATCTGACGGACTTTGCATTCGGACCATCAAGCTATCCTTCAACGCCATCAGTCACGTCCTCCTCCATATCGTCAACCTCTCCCTCATCTCCAATATCTTCCCGGAATCCTGGAAGCATTCCCTCGTCCATCCCATCCACAAGTCCGGTGATCCTGCCGATCCTTCCAACTACCGTCCTATTTCTATCATCCCAGTCCTTGCCAAAATAGTGGAGCGGGCAGTTCAGCGCCAACTCTACTACTACCTTTCCTCCAACCATCTCCTCTCCCCAACCCAACATGGCTTCCGTCCGCAGCACTCTACCGAGACCGCCCTCACGTGCGTCACCGACAGCATCCTTGCTGCTACAGATTCTGGCCTTCTTTCCATTCTTTGTCTCATTGACCTTAGCAAGTGTTTCGATGCTATCAGTCATGCTAAATTGCTCGAAAAACTCCAGCTGCTGGGCGTCGACACATCCTGGTTTCAAAATTATCTCTCCGGTCATTCGCAGAGTGTAAGCCTTACTTCCTCTGATGGCCGCGTCAAAATCTCACCTCCTCTACCCATCAACCAGGGCGTTTTTCAAGGTTCTAGCCTCGGCCCTGTCCTCTTCTGCGCGTTTGCCAACGACCTGAGCTTGTACGTCTCCGATGGACTGGTTATCCAGTACGCCGACGACACCCAGGTCTTGGTTTCCGGCCCTAAATCTGCTCTTCCAGCGCTTGCATCGCGCATGGAAAGCACCCTTTCCTCTCTTGGCAACTACTTCCTTGCGAACGGCTTAAAGGTTAACGTAAAAAAATTCGAGCTCATCACTTTTGGTTCTAGACAAAATTTGCGCAACCTCCCGACGATCAAAATCAGATACCAGGACACGTGCCTGACGCCCAGCACTGAGGTCAAAAATCTTGGTGTGGTCTTCGACCAGCACCTGTCATGGGACGCGCACGTGAGGGCTGTCTCGCGTAGATGCTGCGGTATCCTCGTAACACTATCCCACCTCCGCCACTTCCTTCCTCCTGACACCCTTCCCGAGATAGTCACCGCCAGGGTTGCCAGACTTGGCGATATGTCGCCAACTTGGCGAATTTTGGAAGTCATTGGCGATAGAAGCACGGCGTTTGGCGATAGGCGATAAAACGTCTAATATTGGCGAATTTCCAGAGTTTGCCCCCAAATCACAGAATATTATTTTAAAAAATAAACAAAACAAAGCAAAAAACATCGTTACGAACTATTTCGTAATCTGATTAATTTAACCTTCCAACGTTTCATATATTAGGCACTCAAATATAAAATGTTCCTGATGAAAATATCTTCTGAACCACGTCTCGCACGACCTTTGCTCAGTGGTGATCTGTCAAAATGTCGGGGGGGGGGGGGGGGTCCAGGCCGGGCAGATGGAGGCGGGCTGGATGCAGTGCCATTGATTTACATAGCAGTAATTCGTTTACAGGGGGGTCCTGACCCCCCGACCCCCCCCCCCCCCCCCGAGATCTCCACCTCTGCCTTTGCTATTTTATTTGGCGCTGGTTAAGGTACGCTGTTATGTAGATGAATATGAGAAACGAGATAGGTAAATCGTGAACTTGGAAACGAATCGTGAACACGGTTACACGAACGCCAAATTGCGCTGCTACGTATGCTTATACAGTGCATCCTATTTGGCGAATTTTGGCGAAATTCGAGGGGCGAATTTGGCGATAAGGACCATTCTGGATCTGGCAACCCTGGTCACCGCCCTGGCCGTCTCGCACATCCGCTATTGCCTCTCTGTTTACGGCAGCGGCAGCGCTGGCAACCTCGCAACCATCCAGAAGCTGCTCAACTTTGCGGCTCGCGTGATCGCGGGAAAACGAAAGTTTGACCGCGTGTCAGCTGTGCGAGACAGGCTGGGGTGGCTCGACTCGTCTCAACTCTTCCAATACCAGTCCCTCTGCCTCCTTGACAAAGTCCTCTCCTCTAGCCAGCCCGAATGCATCGCCCGTCAGGTCTGCCTCAACCGGGACCATCATGGCCATGTCCGGCACACCAGACAGGACGATCTCCTGCACGTGCCACCCATCCGTTCGGAGGCGGGCCGGCGACGGTTTGTATACCGCTCGCCTCACCTCATGAACGATCTGCCCATGTCGGTGCGGAACCAGCGAGGTCCGCGGTTCAGGCGAGCCCTGAAGGCCCACCTACTCTCGAGACGAGACACGTGATGAACGCGTTTTTAATCATGATGCCGTGCAGGTGGTGTTTTTTATCCTGAGCTATATGTATATTTTAGGTTGTGTAACATCGTGAGTGTGTATTTTACCCTGCATGTTATGATCCGATTTTATTGACGTGAAGGCCATAATAGCCACTTGTCTTGTGGATGGCTCTTTAATAAACTACTACTACTATAGGTGCTTTGCTGCTTTTCCCTGCTACTTTTCGAGATATGCGCCAGTCAACCACATGATGTAGGGGCAATTGTCACCTCGTCACCCTACCGCGGTAGGGTGGCATAGCAGCTATATCAGGTGCTTAGCAGACGATATCCCGAAAAGTAGCAGTAATAGGCAATAATCGTCAATAGGGCATGGCAGACCATTGACTAGTTGTTTGCATGACATGCTCATCTTTAGCGGCTCGAAATAACATTTCTAAAAAAGTCTAACTAAAGAGCGAGTTGTTGTTTATTATCACTGACTTGTGTTTGGGGGTTCATAATGACTTAACCCGCGCCCCGTAGGGCTACCGGCGGACCCTACCACCCGTAGGGGGGGGGGCCGTTTCGGCCCCCCCCCCCTAAGATCTCGGAAAGTTACCGGCCGATTTTCAAAATTCAAACGGCGTTCGATAGCCCCACCTGGGAACTACCTTGTGACCAAATTTCATTGACCTAGGTCAAACCGATGACGTCACAGGTCAGGTCAAAGGTCAGATTTTCACCGTTCACAGGCAATTCAAGAAATGTGCTGTGAAAGCGAGTAAATTGGTAATTTATTGAAAACCATCGATGGTACATTGTTCGTCAAACACATACTTTGCTATCTGAGGTCACTGATACCAGGTCAGGTCACAGCGAGGTCAGGTCACCGGGGTCACAATATGAATGTGTCGTGTGATACATGTTTTATGGTCCATTTTACATGACAAATGCGATTATGTGGGTTAGGCAGCCTTTGGGGCCAGCCTAGGTCACGTTTTGGTGAAGGTCAGGTCAAGGTCAGGTCAAATTAGGTCAAATTTCAAAGTTGATATTTTTGCATAAAATGGGTATTGATTCGATGCAGCTCGTCACGGGGAGTCTAATGGTGGTCTTCGTTTTGCTCTACGAGTTCTAGAATTGCCAAAAATTGAGTTTGAAAATTTGACGTCATCATTTTTGAACAGTTTTTTCGCTATAACTTGGCCAAAAAACGAGGTATCGATCTGAAATTTGGTATGTAGATAGAAGACGGTAGGCACTATCACATATATTCCGGTTTTTTCGAAACTCAAAAAACTTTTTGGATTTTTTGGCGAATATATCCAAAAAAATGCTTTTTTGATTTTTGGGGGTCAAAACTCAAAAATTTCAAAAATTCGAGATAGCAGTTTTGTAGCCCTGTCAATTCTACACCTTTTATGTCTTGATCATTTTTCTGTATCTTCAAAGCTGTAGTCCTGACAGGTCTACTCGCGAAGGTCTTTTTTCGGTCGAAAATGACAGAACATGACGTCACTCTGACGTCATTTGTGGCCAACCTATCATAGCCTCTGGAAAAATTTTTGGTCACAATGTGTAAAATTGATGCCCAGAGGGGTCCTGAAAGTTTGGTGGCGATATCTCCAGCCGTTTAGGAGATATTGACCGAAAAGGACAGGGGGGCCGTTTCGGCCCCCCCCCTACGGGGCGCGGGTTAATTATTGACTTTGGCCCAAAAATTTTGACAGCATTGTGTGCGTTGATCAATTCTAAAGAGCGCCGGGCCGTCAGTAGAGCGGCGAGGTGACAATTGCCCCTACATCATATGGTTTACTGGCGCATATCTCGAAAAGTAGCAGGGAAAAGCAGCAAAGCACCTATATGGAACGAAAGATGAGTAATCAGAGGCTAGTTTAAGGTGTTCATTTTTAGCCGCTCGGAATAACGTTTTTATAAAAGTCTATTTAAAAATTTAGATATGATTTTTATTATGGTCTTGCAGCTGCTTGCAAAAAGCTAGCTTATCTTGCAGAAAAGCGATGCAATATGTAAGAATGTTGTTGGTACAGTGAACAACAGTGCCCTGAACTAGTCTGACAGAAAATTGCGTTCAAAACGACAACTGGTCAACTAATAAATATCAATTAAAGATTGGCATTAAAATCGGCGAATGTGGTGGCCACTAGCGGGTCTAAATAGTCTTGTGTTTGGTGACAACTGATAACCTCAATTTCGACCTTAGGGCAAAAATGGCATCAGAATCGTATGCTTTGATCAATTTGGGATCGAATGATACATATTTTGTTCATAGTGTGGAAAGTCACTCTTGGGGGTATTTCTAGCGCTTTTCCGGTCCGCCGGCCCAGCGTGCGCTGTCAGCACCTGCTCAGCGACCTGAAGAGCAACGGAAAACGCGTCCTCATCTTCTCTGACGAGAAAACCTTCACGGTTGACCCGGTCGTGAACAAGCAGAACGACCGCGTCGTCACCTTTGGGAACGATGTTTCCGAGGTCCGCCGCGTGTCAAAGACCAAACATCCGGCCTCCGTGATGATGTAACTGACTTACAGGTGCTTGGCAATGAAAGCTTTGGTATGCTGCGCGCGGAGCAAAGCGGCTATCTCTATTCTGTTGGCCTCCATTTTGATATAACTGCAAAAGAAGGTTAAATTCGTCATGGTACCATGTCTCTAATAAGCAGAATTTTCAATTGATATCGCCGAAAAGTTTGGCCCAGACCTGTAAACCCCTCAAAATAAAGAAAAAGAAAGTGTAACAGAACTTTTGCAAAGCCCGGTATACACAGCCTTCATGAATTCCAAGTTCCAACATTTTCGTGAATAAAGTGGAAAACAGTTGTCGGAGAGGGCATTGAGAAGCATGTAGGGGAGACCCGGGAGGTATGGGCCCCCTGGAGGTATGGGCCATCGCAGTTTTGAAGAAGTGTTGCGTATTTTTACACATTTGACCGCGTAAACTGGTAGCAGCCATTCCGTTATACAGCCCACGTGATTTCCAAAATTTTCCTCACTCTTCTTTGGCAATGAGCGGTGACAAAGCGTTTTTGCCCTCTTCGAGTAAAATACGGTACATACAGAAAATTCGTGATAAATTTGAACCAGGCTCGTTTTATGATGTCACACCGTTGGTAATATAAAGCTAAAAGCATGCAAATTAAGACTGGATAGACAATTTAAAGCTTTCTTGCAAGTTTATGAGCTGAGATGCTACGCACATTCTGGCGTCCTTACCGGGAGGTTTGGGCCACCCACCCCCATTGATCCTAAATCAATACAATGATGCTTTCATTGAATGTCCTCTTCAATAACTTTTATTTTTGTCGCGCAAGGTCGAAAATTTAACTACAAATTTCATTCGAACATAAAAAAATATTATTAATCTTATTTCATGGAGCATGACTGAGTTTACCAAAAGACATATGTGCCCACGTGACCCCCATGAAGTAAGCTGTTGGCCGCTTATGCGGTTCCTGGCTCTAAGAGAGATCAAGGTAGATACCAGCTACGAGTATTGTTCTCATTATCGAGAAAAGAATATGAAACATGGCACCGGCCCATACCTCCCGGGCCATGGCCCATACCTCCCGGTGTATTTTGATGGATCGAAAAAGCGCATGATTTATTGAAAGCTGTCTCGAGACAAAATAGTTTATCCCAGATGCCTAATATCAGGCACACTTTGCAGGCGAAAGGCAATTTCACGTATGCATAGTGAAAAACCGGGTCTAGCCACTTCCCACTGGAAGAAAATTGCCTTTTCACAAAACCGGCCCATACCTCCCGGGTCTCCCCTACTAAAAGGTCACGTGCTTGTGGTCTAAGCAAACCATGTACAATCATGTACATGCAACCATGCAAACCGTGAAAACAAAATGATTGTGTTTAATATGACATGTGTTCGGTTGTCCGTTAACCCGGCAGTTGCTGGGGTATTTCGCCACCCACCGTTTGCTGGGGGGGGGGGGGGGGCGGGGCGTTAAACGCGGGTGGGACTAAATGCTTACTTCGAAATCTAAGCTACGTTGCGGCATTGGCGGTTATGTGCGGTGTGTATGCCGCATGATTAGTAAGAGGCGACCACTAAATTAAAGACTCAACGCTCCGACCGGTTCTCAATGAATAACACTGCATACCAAAAATGCCAACCGCTCTCGTCATAAGATATTCAGCTTTAAATAACTAGGTTATCTACATCATCATTTTGAACCAAATTAATACTTTCAACTTAACTCACTCATTCCTTCCTTTGTTGTCTCCAAACAGTCGTTCGATTGTCTGGAAATCGTATGCTAAATCCCGTACCTGTATGCGACTGGTGCATATAAAGGCCGATAAAAGAATTTGAATAGGCTCTGGCATGCGATTTCCTGGCTACCCAAAAAAGTCTGTTTCAGTCTTGCTATCAAAACATGACCTCGCCCGCACAGGGGGGGGGGGGTTGATGCAACCCCCCTAAGGTTTTTCGCGAATAACTCGCTTAAAAAGCGGCTGATCGCGACGAAACTTTCAGTACCCTCGCATTGATCAATTTAACACCCATCCTGAAAATTTCATGACCCTGACCCAAATGACCTTTGACCTGTGACCTACTTTTCGAGACCATGTTTGGCCGGAACCGCGATTCAGCGTATGTCGGCTCGCATTAGCAGCGCGTTTGCAGTCTTTTCGTGGTTTCAAGCGTTCAAACATGTGATATGATGTTGCCCCCATGCATTAGGGTGGGTGTCAAGGTCACCTGAAGGTCAGGTCAGGTCATTGACCTTTGGTGACCTCGGTTCACTTTTTCGAGTTTGACATGTTTCTAGGTCAGTTTTTTCGAGCTGAATTCGAATTAAGCAACCACATGAACGTTTACAAAGTAGTTTTGGTGCCTTCGTAACATGTTACGAGGCTGTCAGAGGCGGTTGACACCTACTACAAATACCTGGCAGGACCTGACCTAACCCGACCTGGCCTAAATGAATGAAGACATCATCTGTGATCAAAACTAGCATGATATTCGTGATCAGCACCCCGAAAAACCCCATAGCAGCC